TACCATCTATGGCTCCTATGACTTTCGGAAAGTTTGCAAATCTTGAAAAATCTTGGACAGTCTTCATTAAGTCATTGGCACTTGATGGAAACTTTATTTCTATTCTTGCCTTTTCTGTCAACACTCTGGTCACTGCTGCAATTATCCTGCTTACACTTGCTTGTGTTAGTCCACATGAGTCACCAATCACACTCTGAAATGTTCCACTAGCATAAAAGCGTAAGGCCACAAGCACTTGTGTGTGGGTTGGCACTGCGTGTGACCTCCGTGTTCTTCTTCTCAAGTATGGGTCCAACACCTCACAGAGCCACAAAATTTCACGTCTTGGAAATCTATAGTACCGCAATAACTGATTATCATTAAAATGCAAAGGATCCAAGGGGTCCCTATAATGTCTTTCACGTTGTAAAGCCTGATCATGAAGATATGCAGCTACCAACTCCATGATGTGTTTGTCGTCTGTCAACACTGTTGGCACTTTGCAATATCTTTAAATAACAATAATTAAGCAAAGAAGGCAGAGAAAACACTAAATATTTAGATTTTCCGGTGTATTAAATGCATAAAACGGCCGTGTGTGGTCAAATAAAGGCTATATAAGTTATAACGACTATGCAATCGAGATATAAACAATCACTATATCCGGTTTGAAACCCTTACAAGCGCTCCCGAGCAGTTGTAACTTACAAGGTACTTTAAAATGTGTGACGTCATAACATGGCGGCTATTTTTGTTTCGAGTATGGCCTCGGAGGAGTTACAACATTGTAACTGCTCCGATGCGAGATACAACATTGTAAACTGTTTTGAGTATCCCGACCCTGGCTAATATCTAAGCTACTACAGCCTGGCCGGTTGTACACGTTGTACAGTTTGAGGGGTCCCCCGGCCAGGTGGATCTCTACGGCGAGAGATTCTGTCTCGTCTCCACAGTGCGGTGCATCGGCTATTGCGGAGCAGGGGATTGTTGCTTTGACAAGGGTGATCAGGCCTCTTTTGCCAGGTGTTTGTGGCAGTGTGAACACGTGATACCCTGCAAAGCGAACAGTGCCCACCGTTCGTGTCTCCTGGAGCATGACAACGTTGATGCTCCTTGATCGCACTACTGCTTGGAGCATGGCATTCCTACCGGAAAAGCCATTTATGTTCCACTGTAGGATGCTTAGATTGTGTGCATTGATGTTACTAGTCGATAGTTACATCTGAGACGCCGTCACAATCGGACCCCAACATCGCGAATCCTCTTGGGCTGAGGGTTCTTCGTCTGAAGTCAGGTTAACTGTGGGTCCACTGGGGGGTGGAGAGCCTTTGGTAGGTTTGACTTTGGTAGCTTTGGCTTTTCTCTCAGGCCTGTCTGCGCTTCTCTTGGCTGGCCTTGCCTGGGCAGGCTCAGCACGTTCTGGCTCTGGCTGGGCAGGCTCAGCACGTTCTGGCTCTGGCTGTGCAGACCCAACCTGTTGTGGCTCTGCCTGCGATGGGCTTACCTGGGTTGGAGCTGGGAGGGGAGTCTCGTCCTGAACAGAGGCAGATGCTGGTTGTACTCGGACCTGCTTTCTGCCTTTCAGGATCGCGACAGTCTTGGTCATTGCCGTCATGGCGACCGTGACTGCCTTCTCCGCCTCTTCCCTTGTCCTTCCCAGGGCTGTCGCCACTGCTGTCACCACAGCAGTCACGAGCAGAGTCATATCTGCCTCATCAAAGAGATCATCATCTCTTGAGGAGGGCTTTGATGCCTTCTTAGAACCTTTCTTCCTTTGGTTCTTTTTCTGCTTCGGCATGTCCGGAAACTCTGTTGTGTTGGAGACGTCCGGTGTCGGCTGTGGGGCGGCCTCCTCCTTCTTAGGAGGTCGGGAGGCCTTTTCACTTTTCTTCCTACCCCACACATGAGTGCCTAGGGGAGCAGGAATGTAGTCTGGTCACTTCTCAGCAACCTCTTGTTGCTTGAGGGCCGCCTCTTTCCTGACAGAGCAAGTCAGGCTCCAGGCGTGATGCCTCTTGGCGCTGTTGGGACATTTGGCTGTTGTCTCCTTTTTCTCTTTGTAGGCTGTCAGGCATAGCTCGGTGTTGTGTGCCTTACCACAGACACCACATTTAGGCTTGGCTGTGCAGTTAGCCTGGTGGTGACCGTATTTCTGGCACTTGAAACACCGAAGTGGTTCTGGCACATACGTTCGAATCTTGTAGGTGCCCCAGTTACCCAGATCAAGGGTAGCGGTTGGGGCACCTTTCAGTGTCACCAGGACTTGCCTGGTTGGAGTCTTCCCTACTGCCATTTGGGAAGCACCACCACCTGAGGATGCGAAGTGATTAGCTCCACATCGTACGAGACGGAGAAGCCAAGTAGCACCATCTTGGTTCTCTCATCCTCGGGAGTCAATGGGGAAAGACTTACTTTTCTCCCATCTTTTAATTCCCTGATTTCCCAAAGGAAGTTCAGGGTGGCATGATCTTTCGGCACTATGATCATGCCTTGGTCTTTGGCAACTCGGATTGAGAGCCGGATTTGCCTGTGCATCTCCAATGCTCTAACCAACTGGTAAGCATTGTCGAAGCCTTCGGGTTTGGCTGGGACCTTGAACTGGGTGAAGCGACTTTTGCTGGGTCCAGACTCTCCATCAGAGTCTGTCTCCGGCCTTGGTCGCTTCGGTGCACCCTTTCGGCTGGGGGGCTTGTTCGTGGGGGCAGCAGCTGCTGGTTCGGCTGGTCCAGCCTGTGCTCCCGTCCCTGCCGGGGAGGCCTTCTGAGGGGGACTCAGGGGCCTCCCTGGTTTGGGTGCTGGTCTGGAGGGACCAGCACGAGAGTCCATCTTTTTCACTAATTGATGGACTAATCCACCATCTGGAGCCAAGAATGGTTCCAAGGTGGCTGCCGTGGTCTGGGCCTTGCATGGGTCAACATTTTTATCAGTCAGTGGGGGTTTTTTGTTTAATTTTTCCATGTAATGGTAAGTGCTTCATCCTCTCATGCCCCCACCCACCATGGAGTCCAACAAGGGGAAGCTGTGTGTCAGAGCCAGTGTCTGACGGCCACTGGGGTGATGAGAGGATATACGCAGCCAATAACCATTGTAGCGGCGCTCATGGACCATGTGAGTGCCAATGGAGGCATGACTGCTTGACCCTAGCCTCCCGTGGGAGACCAGCCGATTGACCGTGACCGGGCCGGGATCAGGTCGCCTGTCTCGCTGGAATAAAGGACCAAAGAGGCATGTTGCTAGCCGCAGGGCGTACTCATTCACGGCATCACTCCAGGACTCCCGTCTCCCAGCGCACAAGGCTGCCACGCACGGCAAATGCGTGGGTAGGTGTAAACCCCTGGGGAGAGACCAGAGGGAATGTCCTTCCACCTACAGGACATCATTGTTTGGAACCCTAGTGCTCTTCCCTCAGGGAGGGATGGAGCTCTTTCACTTTTTCCAGTTAGTTCCTCTCATCCCTCTGAATCAGCCACCCAAAGGCTGTTTCACCACAGTGAGGGAGGAGAGGGCCTGAACCTTTTCAGGGAAGCTCGTTCAGCCCTGAATTCCTCTTTCCTCTGAAAAAGCCACCCAAAGGCTGTTTCACCACAGTGAGAAAGGAGGAGTCCTGCACCTTTTCAGGGAAGCTCGTTCAGCCCTCAGGAAGCAGCCACCCAAAGGCTGTTTTCCACAGCGAGGGAGAGGAGCTACCTTTCAAGGTGGTTCCAGTGGCGGGACATAAGCATTGTAGGAGCCAGTGTAGGTGTGAACCCCTGGGGAGAGACCAGGGGGGATGTTCTTCCACCTACTGAACATCATTGTTTGGAATCCTTTTGCTCATCCCTCAGAAGATGCCACCCAAAGGTTGCTTCTCCTCAGTGAGGGATGGAGCTCTTTCACTTTTTCCAGCTAGTTCCTCTCATCCCTCTGAATCAGCCACTCAAAGGCTGTTTCACCACAGTTAGGGAGGAGAGAGCCTGAACCTTTTTTCAAAGTGAATTCCTCCTTCCTCTGAAACTGCCACCCAAAGGCTGTTTCACCACAGTGAGAAAGGAGGACTCCTGCACCTTTTCAAGTAAGCTCCTACAACCCTCAGAAACAGCCACCCTAAGGCTGCTTCACCACAGTAAGGGAGAGAAGCTAACTTTCAAGGCGGTTCCAGTGGCGGCAAAATAAGGCAGTGTTCTGTCTAGCATCAGCAATTTCGACAGAGCTAATGCCAAAGGGAGGGACTCCTACCTGCCTATCGCCCTAAACGAATAACTAGAGTGGCTGTCATTAAATGGTCTGCCAGACCAGTCCCTAGCAAAAAGATTGGCAACTCTCTGTGCACCGTAAGGTAGGCACGCTAAGGCCCCCGAGACACACCCTCCCCTGCGGGAGGTAAAGGTCTGTCCACGTCCGAGCACGCGCCCGAAGATGGGGTCCAGTTCACCAGAAGGTGCACAGAGAATCATCCTAATGCCGAAATATCCGTAAAGGAAAGTATAGGCTATAGGGCACGAAGCTAAATGCACAGCAGGCAAATAGCGTCGCGGCAGCAACGAGGAGTGGGCGCCGAAGCGTCCGGCAACACGTAGGAGCCGAGGTGATGATTCTAGAGGGCTGGTTCCAGTCAATCTCTTTAAAAACACCCTCGGCAAAGTTCCTGTGAATCAGGCATCACGTTGACCCCCTTTGTAGCCGTTGGCATGGCGTGGCTGCCACCCGCGGAACTCCGGGCATCATGGTGTCCTTGGCGTTGTCGGCATGATGGTGCGGCCGTTACGCGTTACGACATCACGGTGGCTATCTTCGCGTTACCGAACGGCAAGGCGCCACCCGCTGCACCCCGTCGCTTTTCCTGGCCAGTACAATCCTCTCTTCACTCTGATTTAGCCAGGAGAGGCATTCACCGCAGGGAGAGAAGAGAGGAGAGTCCTTCCAAGTCGAATCCTGTGGCTGGAATGCCTGACCAGGGATAAGGATAAGTCCGATATGCGAAGCTGAGCCTCGCCCGGGTTATGGGGGAGCCCGGCCTGTGCCGACTAATGTCGACTCACTAACAGTGTGTCAGCAGGTGCTGACTCGGATGAGCTTAGTCCTTACCCACCGTGGTGCCTAGCCACAGCAGTAACCTCCAGGCGACAATTGCAACTTCTCGCACCTGGGCGGGGCGCGAACCGCCGACCCCTCGAATGAAAGGCCCGCCCAGGCGCGAGAAGTTGCAATTGTCGTCTGGAGGTTACTGCTGTGGCTGGTCTCCACGGTGGGTAAGGACTAAGCTCACCCGAGTCAGCACCTGCTGACACACTGTTAGCGAGTCGACATTAGTCGGCACAGGCCGGGCTCCCCCATAGCCCGGGCGAGGCTCAGCTTCGCATATCGGACTTATCCTTATCCTTACCAGGGTCCAACGCGGGCCTTAAGTATCCGACCTTCGCGTGGGGGCCGTCATGGACCCCCGCTCCGCTCGGCTTAATGCCCTCATCTCTTTTTGAGATACTTCCG